ACAATGAATGAATGAGAACCCAAAATCTCTGTAAATGTTTATTAAAACTAATAAAATTTAATAATAATTTTTTTAAAAGATTATGGATAAAAAAAAAATAGCCAAGCTCTTGGTTTAGAGCAGCTTAAGTTTTGTGTAATGCTGATCTTAAAGGTCAGTCACAGTTGGAGAGAGCCCAACCATCAACCTTGACACACAGGTCTTCATGACTTAATCCTACTGATGCCCTTGACAGAAACAGCGTATAGTCTTCCCATGTAGTTGTGTCAGAACGGTGCTTTTAGAATTGCGAGCATCACAATCAGTGAGAGTCTCTTTGAGAGACACAGTGAGCTCTCATTTTCGAGAACCGAGATTTTGAGGTTGAAACCTGATTAACTTTATCTGTCTTTTACCAAATTCATTTGACTGAAGTCTTTCTTGCTAAACTCAGGACCTTGTGGTCCCCGAACCAAAGACATTCTCAGTGACAAGATGTTTAGGAGAGGATGCACATGTGGGAAGCTCATCTGACCATGCCCCTGCCCCAGGATACAAAGTCTAGCCTGCTCTTTGTAGTTCCAAATCTTAGCCCTTCCTGCCCAGATATAGTCCTTTGATGCCTCCTTGAGTTCTCCTCTGTGTGAGACTGGACTGTGTGAAGAGAGCTAAGCTCTTAGAGGTCCTACAGAGGCGGTGCCAGGGGCTAGGGACATGAAGTTGTGACAAGTATGGAAGGCATTGCACAGATGGAGGTTTTCACTCTTGAGTCACTTGGCCCCTGTCTTCACCTGGAGGCTCAGAAGTTTCTTATTCGATGATCCACTGGCTTTGCAAGTACAGGCCCTGCTAAGGGGTAGAGAAATCATAGAAAATCCCATGCTTAGAAAATCCCATGCTGCCTTGAGGAGCACCATAGGTTCAGCTTGCCACCTCCATGGCAAGCAGCCTTCCAAGTCTGCTGCTACAAACACACAGTCACAAACACACATTTGCACACACTTACTCTAAACATTCACCCAATTACATATACACATTCATACTCACATTGTTGTTGTTATGTGCCATCAAGTTGCCTCTGACTCATAATGACCTCTGAACCCTGCCCTATCCTGAGCCAGTCTCACTGACTCTGACACAACTACTCTCATTGCCTCTGTGACTATATTAATCCATTTTATCTGCATCTTCCTCTTCTGTGCTGTGCCTCCAACCTTCTGAGCATAATGTTCTTCTCCAAGGACTGATCATCCCTGGTTACATGCCCAAAATATGTGAGATGAAGCTTCAAAATCCTAGCCTCCAAGGAAAACTTGGTTTCATCCTCTCCAAGACAGATCTATTTGTTTTCTTGGTGCTCTATGGTATGCTCAAGACTCTTCCCCAGCACTACAACTCAAAGGCATCAATTCTTCTAGCATCTCTAGTCATTGTCCAGCACTTTGATGCATAGCAAATAATTGCAAAGAGCATGGCCTGGATCAGGCACACCTTAGTCTCCAGACTGACATCGTTGCTTCTCAATACTCTGGAGAGGTCCCCGACAGCAGATTTTCCTAGTGCATTTTGTCTTTTGATTTCCTGACTGCTGCTGCCAGGAATGTTGACTGTGGAGCAGAGCAAGCTGTAATTATTAACAACCTTAGTCTCTTCTCCATATATTATAGTGCTGCCAATTGGCCAAGTGGCGAGAATCTTTGTCTTCTTGATGTTGAGCTTCAAGCCATATTGAAGACTACAGTCCTTGACCTTCTGCAGCAAGCGCTTCAGATCCTCCTCAGTTTCAGGAAGCCAGGTTGTGTCATATGTATAACATAGGTTGTTAATGAGTCTTCCTCCAATCCTGATGCTACATTTCTCCTCATAGAGTCCAGCCTCCTGAATGATCTGTTCTGCATATGGATTAAAAGGTATTGCGACAGGATGCATCATCCCTGACACTCCATTCCTGATTTTGAACTATGCAAAATCAGCTCTGTTCTGAGGACTGCTTCCCAGTCTGAGTTTCCCATGATTACAGTCAGGTGTTCTGGGATTCTCATTTTCCCTCAAGGGTAGCCACAACTTACTGTGATCCAAACTGTCAAATGTCTTTGCATAGCCAATGAAACACAGATAGACATTCCCTCTGGGACTCTTTACTTTCTGCCAAGATCCATCTGACACTGGCGATAATGACTGTAGTGCCATGACCTCTTCTAAACCCAACTTATATTTCTGATAGTTCTCTGCAAATGTATTATTTTAGTCGTTTTTGGATAATCTTCAGCAGGATTTTGCTTGCAAGTGATATTCGTGATTGTTGTTGTTGTTATGTGCCGTTGAGTCGTTTGTGACTCATAGCAACCCTATGCACAACAGCCCTAAACCCTGCTCTATCCTGTGCCAATTGCATTGCCTCTGACACACCCATCCCGATTACCCCAGTCACTGAATCAATCCACCTCATAGAGGGTCTTCCCCTCCTGCGCTGACCCTCTATATTGTTTGATAATTTCCACCCTGCGCTGACCCTCTGTATTGTTTGATAATTTCCACACTCTTTTGGGTCACTTTTTTTTGGAATGGGAATAAATAGGGACCTCTTCCTGTCAGTTGGGCAGGTAGCTGTCCTCCAAATTTCTGGGCACAATCTGGTGAGCACAGACAGGGCAGCATCTGTTTGTTGAAATATATCAATTGATATTCCATCAGTTCCTGGGGACTTATTTTTTTGCTAAGTACTTCAGAATAGTCTGCACTTCCTCCTTCATCACCATTGTCACTTAATCATATGTTCACATTAGCACACTCATGTTCTCATGTACGCTCACACACAAACTCGCAACCCTCACACACATATACCATATGCTCACACACACTTGCCCCACACATGGTCACACCATACATTCACATATATTCTCTCACACAGATCAACATAGAAATAAAAATAGTAACAACAGTAAGACATGCCTTCACAAAAGCTACTGCATACACAGGAAGAGGTAAACTATGCCCTGTTCTCTTGGAGCTGCCCATGCTGTAAAAGTTTTCATTCTCTTTCTGTCCTGACTCAAGTCTTCCTTGTGGTCATACCTGTCTGATACTGTCGCCCAAGGGGTGAGAGACTCAGACAGCAGCTGGATGAGTACTCACTTTGAAGAGCTGGTTCTTGGCCTGGGTCTGGTGGATGGTCCCAGGGCCCAGCTTGGTTTCTGCAGTGTCCAGCTTGAAGATTTCTTTCAGGAACTTGTTTTTGGAGGAGTAAACCAGTGTAAGAATATCTGTGCTCAATACATCTCGATTCTTCTCCAGGAAACCTGTGGGGAAAGCAGACTCTTATCCCTATCCAACTCAGCCATCACTCTCCCACCAGTGTTCTGGAGCAAAGGGAATCAACCATATCAGGGTACAAACCAAGAAAGGCATGTCTGTCATTGCTAGACACGCTCAGGAATTAATTATTGAGACAGAAAGTTATACATTTGTTGAAGGGCTCTCTATGACAGTGTGATTGTTGAGAGAAAAAGGAAAAAACTATGACAAAGTCCATTCCTTCGCCTTCTTACACAATCTTTGCTTGCATTGCTCCTAAAGGCAGACTGGACAAGGAAGGGTACACTTATTATATCAGTCAGCCAGGAAAGATCTTTCTAGAGTACAGGATTCTCCCATAAATAAGAGATAAAACTCAAAAGACAGGAAAAAGAGGCAAATGAAAATGGGAAAAAGGAAAAAAAAAGAAAATGGGAAAAAGGAAGCGGGAATAGTGCTAATACAATGCAGACTGTAATCAATGTTTCAAAATATAAAATTTATGAATTGTTTAATAAAAAACTAATTTGCTCTAGAAACACTTATTCAAATAACCATCAAAGGTTAAAATAAAAAAAAATCACCTATATGAAATCAAATGGTCAACAATAACTTTAGAATAAAGAGGAGACGATAAGAGGTTAAGGGAAGTAGATTAGTGGAAATTAATAAGAAAGAACAGCTTGAAAGAAAACGATGAGACTGTCCATTCATTGTGGAAAATGTCACCAGTGCCATTAAGTAAGTATAGAAATTACTGCAAGAGAACCCAAACTTCTATGGAAACCTTCACTGAAAACATAAAGAATCTCATTATTTAATTTATTTTTTTTACTGTGATTTTAGTGAAAGTTGACAAAGCATATTGGTTTTTTAATCATTCTTATACATTCTTTCTTTATAACAGTGATTAAATACCCATAATGTCTGATCATCCCCTACTCTATATTGTCCTTTCCTTCACCCATCTTAATAAGTGTTTATTATCTACTTATTAATTTTGTTTTACTTTCCTCATCCTCTTGTCCTCATCTTGGTAACTGTACTAGAATGATTCTGTGTGTAAATTTTTCTTTAGCTTGTTTTTTTCTTTCCAAGGTTGAAATTTTTTTATTAAATTTTATTAATTTTAATGAACATTTACAGAGATTTGGGGTTTTCATTCATTCATTGTTGCACTATTTTCTTCTTTAGCTTTTTATAATAGTGGTCTTGCACAGTATTTGCCTTTTTGTGATTAACTTATTTCGCTTAGCATAATGTCCTGTAGATTTGTTCATGTTACACAACGTTTCATGAATTCTTCATTGTTTTTCAATGTTGAATAAATATACTATAGTTTCTCTATCTGTTCATTTGTTGATGGGTATTTGGTAATCCAAGAGCTCTATCTCCAAAGAGATCTATCTCTTTGCAGTTGTGCATAAGGCTGCAATACACAGCTATTTTTATACTTTTATGAAATGAAAATTTGGTTTAGTTATGATGCCATTAGTTTCATTTTGTACCTAGGTCACTTGCATTTTCCTCTTCTTTTCTTTGTTAGGTTGCTAGTGGTTTGTCTATTTTATTAATTATTAAGAAAAACCAATTTCTAGTCTTGATTTTTTCATTTTTAGATATTTCTTTCTATTTCCTATCTTCTAGAGGCTATTGAGTTTGCTTGCTATTCTTTTAATTGTTGGAGATATTGGGTTAAGGTATTTATTTTTGCTCTTCTTCTTTGATGTTTGTGTTTATTACTATAAACTTACTTGAGTAGTGCTTTTGATATATCTCAAAGACTTTGGTAGATTGTTTTTCTATTTACATTGTTATGCAAAAAGTTTTGAAATTTCTTTTGCTATTTCTGTTAGTGTCCAAGCACAGTGTCATTCAGTTTCCATACACCTGATTTTTTTTTACCTTTGATTTTCTTGTTCCAATTTTATAGCATTGTGATTTGAGAAGATGTTTTGTAGTATTTTGATGTTTTTCTCTATGACCTTTCACATGGTCTACTCTGGGGAATGTTCTATTGTGCTCTGGTTAGATGGAGCACTCTAAATAGGCTTACAGATTCAAGTTGGTTAATTTTATTGTTTAGTTATTCTAAGTCTTTGTTAAGTTTTTCCTAGTTGTTATGTCATTCACTGAAGTGGTATATTGAATTTTACTCCAAATATTATTGTGAAGTTATCTATGCCTCTCTTCAAATCTACTAAAGTTTACTTTGTATATCTTTCAGCTCTGTAATTGAGTGTGTAGATGTTAATGATAAGTATGTTTCCTTGTTCAACTGACTCTTTCATCATTGTATAATGTCTTTCTTGTTCCTTGTGCTGGTTTGTTTCTTGAAATCTATTTTAGAGAAAAATTTGGTCTGATAAGGGACTTATATTTAGAATTTATAGAATACTCCAGCACCTCAACAAGATAAACAACTCAATCACAAAGTGGGCACAGGATATGGACATGTCACCAAAGAAGACATTTAGATGACAAACAAACACATGAAGAAATATTCAAAATCTCTAGCTCTAAGAGAGATGCAAATCAAAACAACTATGAGATATCATCTCACCCCAATAGCAATAGCAAAGTTCAGCAAAGCAGCAAACAACAAATGCTGGCGAGCTTGTGGAGAAATTGGAACACTTATTCACTATTGGTGGGTGTGTAAAATTGTGCAACCCATATGGAAGGCAGTATGACGCTTTCTCAAAAAGTTGGAAATAGAAGTACCATGTGACCCTCTGGTCACAATTACACTACTGGGAATATATTACAAAGAAACCAGAAGTGTCACCCAAATAGATAATATGCAACACCATTCTGTGTTGTTCACAATAGAAAAGAGATGGAAGCAACCCAAGTGCCCATCAACAAATGAATGGATAAAGAAACTGTGGTAGATTCACACAATGGAATACTATGCAGCATCGAAGAACAAGGAACTCATGAAATATTACACAAAATGGGTGACCCTGGAGGACATTATGCTGAGTGAAAGATCTCAGTCACAAAAGCATAAATACTGCAAAATGTCATTGTTATAAAACAGGACTGCTGTGGGGATTGGAGGAAACTAATGAACACTGCATTGGAATAGATGAGGGAAAGAATTGTATGAAAGAAATATATGATTAGGTATTATTTGCATGACAGTAGTCCAGAATAAGAGGCACATAGCAGAGTGGACAGGGGGGTGGAGGAGGGAGGAAATTGTGTAACAATAAAAGAGTCTTTTTAAAGAGAAAAGTGAACTGGGGGTCGGGTAGGAGGAAAATATGCAACAATGAATTAATGGAAATACAAGTTTTCAGAAAACTTTTAAAAAAATATCAGTAAAAACAAAATATCTATTTTATTAGAGACTAGTATTGCCACTCTTTCCATTTTTAACTGCTTTAAAACAATCTTTTAAGGTGAGCTCTGGTGGTCTAGTGGCAAGAAGCTGCACTGCAATCCCAGAGGTACAGGGTTCGAATCCACCAGATGCTCTGCTGAAAAAGGAGGGACAATCTCCTCCTGTGCCAGTCAGATCTGATTTGACGGTACACACACAACCCCCCCAAACCCCCCCCAATCTTTTAAACAAGTAAATAAATACACACATAATAAGCAGTGTATTCAAACTGCATAACTTTTGGTTGGCAGTGTAACTCCTCACTAGGACACCAGTGTTCCCTATGAATCAATGACTTTGAACTGTGGTATTAGAAAAGAGTAATGAACAGCCCCTGGACTGCCCAAAGAATAAATACATTTGTCTTGGAGAAAGTGCTTAGAGAGCAAGGATGGTGAAACTTTGTCTTACGCAGGTTGGGCATGTTGTCAAGAGGGCTCAGTGCTTGGAAAATGACATTATACTGGGAAAGGTGGAGGGTCAGAGAAAGAGAAGACCTTTAACAAGGAGGATTGACCCAGTTACTGTAAAAATGGGCCTGAACATACCAGAGAGCCTGTGGATGGAACAGGAGAGATCAAATTTCAGATTTTGGTCATAGGTTTGCTATGAGGTGTAGTTGACTCAGTGACACCTAAAAACAACAACTAGTGCACAACATATCAGACTGCTAACTGAAAGGTTAGCAGTTCACATACATCAGCTGTCTTTCAGAAGAAAGATGGACACTCTCATAAAGACTTGTTTCTGGCAAATTTGACTATGTCTTTTTTTTTCTTTTGGGGTCTATTCTACACAGTGTTTGCTCAGCTTTTTGAATATATATTCTCTTATTCTTCATTATGCCTCAAAAGTTTCCTTCTAGTAATTCTTCCAAAACTTTTTCAGTGTCTTTACTTGCTTCTTCCTGTTCTGCGAATTTGATTATGTGCATGTTATTCTACTTGATGGTGTCCAACATTATTTTAAGGTTTTTCTTCTTTTTCCTTTCTTTTTGATTCTGCTATTTGTTCTAACATTTCAGTGGTGACAATTGTATCTTCTATTTCACTGGTTCTGTGTTCCATCTCTTCAACTCTGTTCATGTGTCCCTCCAACATGTTGACAGCATCTGAAACATTGGTCTTCACATTTTGTATCAGAGTTTCATGTTTTCTGGAGACTCTAATGCCTAGTTTGTTTTATCTGCATTGTTTTGGATTATTTTTAAGCTCCTTTTGGCTTTTGCTTGCAGTGTCCTGTAATTATGAGTTTGTCTTTCACCCATTAAAAATATTCAATCATTGTTCTTTTAAATTCTGTGTCAGAAAGTTCCATCAGACTTTCTGGCTTCAGAAAATTAATTTATACTGTGTTACTTTTTGGGGTGACATCATATTGTGAGCTTGTATAGCATGTGAGGTATCCTGCTTCTTATGTGACATTGCTGTGATAGAGTTTTTTTATGCCTGAGCAGGCTCTTGGTCTGATGTAACTTCTCCACAGGAGGGTGGGGCAGGTACCCTCTCTGGGTTTCTCTCTGAACTTTTGACTCAAGGGAAGAGTTTATTCAGTTTGGGAGAGAAAAAGCCTGTGAATTATCAGACTCCTCTGTCAGACAACTGCCACAGTTGGCCAGTCCAAGGTGCTCCAGACTAATGGAAGCTCACACATTGGGAGGGGAGAAGAAGTGAAATGGATTCACCCTTGATACTGATGTCTCTGGTGCAGTTCAGATGGGTGGCAGTGGATTGTCCTCTAGATGCTGGATTTGGGGCACCCAGGCTGTGGCACCAGGTCCTCCAGATAGTGGTCCAGGACCTTCCTGTGGCACAGGCGGGACTTCCATGCATCAGGATGGGACTTTTGAGTGGTGGGGTAGGGCTTCCAGGTGGGTAGGGTAGGAATTCCAGGCAGCAGGGCTGGGACTTCTAGGAAAAGCCCTGGGCAGGCTTCCAGACAGCAGGCAGAGTGTCCCCACAGCCAGAAAATGTTCCATTATGTGCATTCAGGGGTCTAGGTGGCAGGGCTGGATGCCTCCAGCCAGAGGGCCTGGGGCCCTGCCAGTCAGCGGTGTTGCAGTCTAGTGCTCCAGGCAGGAGACTAGTCCAGGGCACATCAAGAAATTAAGTCAGGTACTTACTTAATTGACTAGGTGTGCAGACACACAAACAGGTGTGGTGTGGCAATGCACCCACGAGCAACAATCTTAAAAAATACTACATGCAATATTATTCAAAATGGGCGACCCTAGAGGACATTATGCTGAGTGAAATATCTCAGTCACAAAAGGACAGACACTGCATAATGCTACTGTTATAGAATGGGATTGACATCAGGATGGGATAAGAATGAGAAAAACTGGATATTATGCATACTGCATTGAAACAGATGAGGGAGAGAACAGGTTAAATAAGGTATATGATAGATTATCACAAGAGTCCAGAATGAAAGTTGTCTAGTTGAGTGTAGGGGGTGGCACCGGCGGGGTGTGGTGGGATTGTATACCAAAGAAGGAATTTTTCTTTCACTTTTCAAAGAGAAGAGCAAACTGGGGTGGGGGGGCAGGAGAAAAGTGCAACAATGAATGAATGGAAATCCAAAATTTCTGTAACTGTTCATCAAAATTAATTAAAAAAATTTAAAAAATAGATACACAACTATAAAAAATACTACATTAATTGGAGACTGGAGAGCTTTATACCTAGTGACCTAAATCAGTCTCATAAAGGTAAATACTACCTAAGATCTTTATCATAAAAATAGAAGGATAACTAGTAAAACATGTATGGGGGAAGGGGCAAGAATAGAAGTGTGAGAATGGGTAGGAAGAAATCACAGGGTCACACGATTTGGTGGATCGAGGGAGGCGGTAAAGGAAATGAGAAGAATCTGGGTGGACCTGAAAAGCAGGGTAATGTTTGAGTGTAGTCCAATGGCAATTAATTTTATAAAACACAATGCATGAGAATGATTGTATGGAACATAATGTCAGTGAAAGAAAGCATGAGTGAAAAAAATCTGCATGAAAATAAACATAAAAAATTTTAAAAAAGTTTCACCTCATAAAAACAATACACAGAATGGAACAAAGTATTTTCAAATAATGTATCTGATAAGGACCTTGTGTCCAGAATTTATAAAGAATTCTTACAACTAAATGTTAAAAAGATAATATTTGAAATAAAACATAGGCAATTATTTGACATATATTTCTCCAAGGAATAGAAACAAATAGGTGCTAACTATATGGAAAATATGCTTAACATAATTAATTATTTGAGAAATGCAAGTTTAGACTACAGTTAGATTCTACATTGACAGGAAGAAATATCATGGAAAAAATAGAAAACAACTGTTGGTGAGGATATGGGAAAATTGTCTGTGGAATGTAAAATGATGGAGTCTCTTTGCAACTCAAATTTGGGAACAAAGTTTGTTTCTCATAAAGTTAATCCTAAAATTATCCTAGAGCTCAGTCATTCTGCTCCTTATGTAAGAGAAAGGAAAGTATGTGTACTCACAACAACTTGAATATGTGAATACTAATGGCAGCCTTTTTTGGTAATAGCTAGAAAGTGGAAACAACACAAATACTCATTAACAAATATATGGGTAAATATTGTAGTGCTATGGGGTATATACATGGATACTCTGAAATAAAAATAAAAAAATTGTGATGTTATGTTACAACATAGAAGACCTTGAAAATATCTAAGTGTTAGAAGCACAGGAGCACATAAAATTTCACATAAAATATTCAGGCAGATTCAGAGAAGCTGAAAGATTGCTTGGATCTAGAGATGTTTAGGTTTAGGGAGAGCTGGGCAAGAGGAACTGGGACTGATTGCTTGTGTGTACAAAGTTTCTTTTTGGAGAAAATGTTCTAAATTCAATTGTGACGATAGTTGCACACTTCTGAATATAGTAAAAATACCTGGATTGTACACTTTAAATAAATGAATTATAGTGTATGAATTATATATAAATAAAACTGTTAACCCCCTCTTACCCTCCATCAGTTGTCTCAAAACTTCCACAGAAACAACACACTTGCCCAGGCCAATCTATTCCTTTCTCCAGTGAAAGCCTTTCTTATTACCCTTTTATTTCATTGCTACACCTGGAGCAGAGGCTAGCTTCCTTGCTTTGGCTTCCTTGAACAAGTCTAGATTTGAAAGGCAGGGTAGGATTAGCATCGCACTCACCTTCTGTCTTATAATACACGTGGCCAGCAAAATGGGCAATGCCAAATTGGACATCGTGGATGGTCTTTGGTTCCAGGAAGGCTTTGTTGTGTGCATGCACACTCTTCAATTTTTGCAGCATCGAGATGTCTGTCCCCTGGAAGAACCCAGAAGCTGAGGGGTTGAGGTTCCATAGGATAGGGAGATAAGGGGACCAATCACAAGGCTCATGAGTTCCCACACAGGGACAAAGCAATCTGAACTCTGAATTAACAAAGACTTCTCAAGGAATTATCTATCAAGGATTGGTGACCTGGGGTGAGTGAGGAGATAGCTGGGAGCAGAAGTTGCCAGGCCTACTGAACTCCACTGTTGGCTCTTTCTATGCCACCCTTTCCTGTGATTTTCTAGCCCCTGTGACCCCCTCTTCTTCCCTCACTGGACTAAATTCTCACCACTGCATTTGGCAGCAATGACATCACGAGAGAGGTGCTATCAAAGTGACCTCAGGTCTGCCCTACCCCAGTCATCCAGTGCAGGAACTCCTTACTTCCCCATTTCACACATCAGTCAAGATGCTAGAGGTCAGGCAGCGGCATGTCCATTTTGACCAATGAGACTGAGAGTTCTAGCCATCTTGAAAAGTGAGAGGGGTGGGGCCACATGCAAGGCAGGACCAGTGGGATTTCTCTGCCATGGGGTGCTGTTTATCCAACTGGGTGATACTAATCCTAGTAATACTCCTTTCTGGCCGCTTCAGCTCCTCCAGAACATACAGAAGACAATAATGAAAGCGTTTCTTCCTCTTGCATCATTCGCAATCCTAGGCTTCCTGGTGCTTAACATGGGGCCTATTCTTGAACCTAAATAATGAAGTACTAGACGGAAATGTTTCTACTAATAGTACTTTATAGTCTTCTGTTGGTGAGTGGACGTGACTGTGAGTCAGGAAAAGCTTCCCTTACACGAGAGTCAGGTGTATGGCAGGACCAGAAGGGGAGGATCAAGTTGGGCTGGGGCTGGTCTGACACACGTATCCTATGCACAAACAAATACACACTATGCCCTATACGTGCCCTTTCTATCTGCTGTCACCATTTCACCTCATAATATATTTGGGGAAATGAGAAGGTAGAGAATATCATTAAATCCTTGTGCTCAATAGCCTGAGCACAAGTGGGCCACCCTAGTGGAACTTCCCAGAAGGAGGACAAGAAGGACAAGCAGTAGTTTCTACCAGAACAAACCTGTGGGAAACGACTCTCTTCATCCAAGAGGGAGATGATGCTCATGGGTTTGAGAGACAGTAGTTCCAAGGTATGGCAGTTGTCAGTGTAGTGGATGTAGTTCCAAGTAATGTTCTCCATGCGGTATTCCTCCTGCTCCATAGTGAAGACATGCTGTACAAAGAACTGCTGCAGGTGTTCATTGGCCAAGTTGATGCAGAGCTGCTCAAAGCTGTGGAGACAATGTCAGCTATGGAGGCCATCTACTGGTGAGGCTTCCCATCAGCTGCATGCCCCCTGCAGCGGGTGGGAGGCTTGGGGCCACTAACTATTTGCATACAACTCAGGAAAGCACATATCCTATGCACAAATACACACTATCCCCTACACCTGCCCTTTCTCTCTGCTGTCACCATTTCACATGATAACAGACTGAGAGCAATGAGAAGGCTGAGAATATCATCAAGTCCTCATCTTTGGTTGCCTTTAGCAGTCTTGCCTATCTTGGTCAATTCAGGTGAAGGCCAAAAGTGCATGCACAGCTCCAACCCATGACCAGTACCGTTGATATTGAGACAAGCTTCTGTAGGCCAGTGTTGACTAATGGATTCTTTATTGCTATTGTTGTTAAGGTCAGTATGACTCATAGTGATCCTATGAAAAATATGTCTGAACAACATTCCTATCTTAGCTTGTGCCATCCTCATCATTTCTGACAAATTAAGGCTATTGCTACAGTCACTATGTCCATTAAACTCATTGAGGGTAATCCTCTCTTTTCACTGACCCTCCAGCTTTCCAAGAGTGATTCCAATGAATAGCTTTGGAATATTCCAAGAATATGCCCAAAGTAAATAAGAAAGCTTTGTCTCCATGTGTATTTGCTTCCATGGAGCATTTTGGCTACAATTTCTCCAAGACGTATCTGTTCATAATTTTGGCAGTCCATGGGAAATTCAGTACTCTTCAACAGCACAGCTCAAGGGCATCACTTCTTCTTCTTTCGTCCTATTCATTGTCCAGCTCTCAGATGCATAGCAAGTGATTGAAAAAATTATGATCTGAATTAGGTGTGCCTTAGTCTTCAAAGAGATATAATTTCTCCTCAGTAATTTGGAGAGGGAAATGACAGAGGGCTCAACCAATACACTGCATCTCCTGATCTTCTGACTGCTCGTACCATGGGTATTGATTGTAAACTCAAGTAAGAGGAAATCATTGACAATTTCAATTTTTTTTCTCCATCATGATGTTGCTTCATGATGTGCCATTGAGTCGACTCTGACTCATAGCAATTCTATGTATAACAGCTTTGAAACCTGCTCTATTCTGAGCCGATTCCACCTCTGACACACCTACCCCCAATACCCCAGTCACTGAGCCAATCCATCTCATTGAGGGTCTTCCTCTCTTCATTGTCCCTCCACCCTCCCAAGCATGGTGTCTCTTTTCAACGGACTGGTCCCTCCTTGAAACATGCCCAAAGTATGTCAGACGGAGCTTCAAAATCCTTGCCTCCAAAGAGCAGCCTGGTTTCACTCTCTCCAGGACAAACCTGTTTGTTCTAGCAGTCCATGGTATATTCAAAACTCTTCTCCAGCACAGATGCTCAAAGGCATCAATTCTGCTTCTATCATCCCTAGTCATTGCCCAACTTTCTGATGCATAGCAAGTTATTATGAAGACCATGGCCTGGTACCAACTGATCGAACATGCAACTAAGATACTATATAATAACTGCAACTAAGATAAATAACGATGGGTGACTGCAATGTAAAAGCTGGAAACAAGGAAGAAGGACTGAGAGTTGGGAAACATGGACTTGGTGACAGAAATGAGGCTGCAGACAGATTGGTAGAATTTGTACAATGATTTATTTTTATAAATATCTTTTATAAGAAACACAAATGACGACTTACACATGGACTTCACCTGATGGCCTACAAAGGAATCAGATTGATTACATATGTGGGAAAAATTGCTGGAGAAGCTCAATATCAACAGTGTACCTATTGTGGTACCTATTGTGGATCAGATCATCAACTACTCATATGCAAGTACAAACTGAAGCAAAACAAAACAAAACCCAATCAAATCCAATCTACAAGAACCAAAGTTTGACCTTGAGTCTCTCTCTCTCCTGAATTTAAGGAACATCTCAGCAATAGCTTTAAGGCCTTGACTACTAATGAGTGAAGGCCAGATGAGCTGTGGGAGGATATAAAGAATATAATTTATGAAGATTGCAAAAGGTCATTTAAAAGACAGAAGAGGAAAAAAAGAACAAAATAGATGCCAGAAGAGACTTTGAATATTATACTAGAGCACCAAGAAGCCAAAGCAAAGAGAAAAAATAAAAATGTAAAAGAAAGTGAACTGGGGAGGGGAGAACAGGGAGGAAATGTGCAACAATGAATGAATGGAAATCTAAGTTCTTTATAAACTTTCATGAAAATCTTAAAAAGCAGAATATACAATTGGGAATTTCACGTAAATGCATTTAAAGTATGTTAAATATGATTGATTTTGGAATTTAGATGCACTGTTATCAATTTTGCTTAGCTGTACATGTTCATATCCTTGAAAACGTATCATGAAACTGTTGCAGTCTAGAAGACACAAATTTAACTAACAAGTTAAAAGTACATGAGTCAAATATTAAAAGCAATAATATTCCAAGTAGAGGTTCTAATAGTGGCACAAATCAAATTACAGAGGGAAGGTAGTTCTTACAATAAAAGGCCTACTGACTAGCACTTTGTCTATTATAGTATAAAGGTTAGGAACCACAAGATGTAGAGGCTCAACTATGTCATTTATTGTTTTTAAGTCCTGGACCAAATTCCATCTACCACTGGGTTGTTACACAGCTCAGAAGTCTGCATGCAAGGCAGAGGTGAAGTAAGGAACTGCTTATGAGGTTTTCCGTCCATTCCTACAACTAAGAAATAGTGAGAAGAGCTGGGACCTTAAAAGGCTTTTAGGACCAAATAATAGGCTCTTGTGTCCAGGAGAAAATGAATATACTTACCAGTAATGTTAATGCTTACCCACAGCTCTTCTGGGAGGATCTAAATCGTTGAAGCATCCTCCTTTGTTTCCAGCTGGGAGCTGGGGCCTGTCAGTCCTGTCAGCCACGAAGACCTGATGTGGGCCACCCTTGGCCAGGTGTCCTTCAAACCCATACTTAAAGCAAGTGAGTGGGAACTTCCTCTCTACTCCCTTGCCTATCTGTGGCTCTGGTCTGTGACACTGTCTACTGAAGTGGCCCAGCTTTCCACAGTGGAAGCAATTCTGACCTCCTTTATTACCTTTGGGTGGCACTGTTTATGAGTAAG